TCTACGCCGACGACGGCTCGTGCAGGTTCCTGCCCGCGAACATCAGTGTCGGCTTCGCCCTGGTCTTCATCATCATGCCTCTGCTGATGTTCGTCATGGGGCTGATCAGCACCGCGGACGCGTTCACGTTGTTCAGACGGATGAAGGACATCGCCCTGGCCCGACACGACGCCGGCGGGTTCAGTCTGCCGACAGCGTCAGCGGGGGCGGCGGCACCGGGCGGCTCGGCCGTCCAAGCCAGATACAGCGAGCTGAACGTGTCGGCGGATCTGTGCCGGTTAGTCCTCGTTTACACACTGGTGTCCACGGGGATCAATGGTCTACCACTTATGGTGAGTGTTCCTAATTATGGTCTACCATTGATGGTGAGTGTTTCTAATAATTGTCTACCACTTATGGATTTGAGGTAAGAATAGAAGAACAGTTTACACTTTACATGGAATAATATGTTTTGATGCACCAGAATCCTATTATAAAGAGCGATATTGGTTTCCAGGTGTCCCAGTTCGTCCAGCTGGTTCAGGGCCACGACAGGGTTGCCATGGAAACAGTTCTGCTCTGGCTGGTCTTGTTGGAGTCCCTGATCCTGCCCCATTTACTCTGGTTGCTAAGCGACCGGTACCGCCACGCTGCCGTGTACACGTGGAGGGTGTTCGTGCTCAGAGATAAGAACGCTAGGGAGGAAGGTGAGTACAACACATGTGTGATGGGGGCTGCACGGGGGGGGGGGGGGCGGGCCCGGGGGTGGAGGGGGGGGGGGGGGGGGTCGTTCTAGGTGGAAGGGGGTCATTCACGTGATTGAGGGGAGGTGGAAGGGGGTCATTCACGTGATTGAGGGGAGGTGGAAGGGCGTCATTCACGTGATTGGTGGGAGAGGGGAGATGCAAGGTGGGTCATTCACGGCATGAGGGGGAGGGTGGAAGGGAGTCATTCACGTGATTGAGGGGAGGTGCAAGAGGGGTCATTCACGTGATTGAGGGGAGGTGGAAGGGGGTCATTCTCCCACTTAAAGAGAGGCTGTAAAGGGGTCATAATGTAGTTCGAACACTATCGAGCAATAGAAATTGATAGGACAATTAGGGCCAGTAGAATTAGATAGGGCACTATGGGTCAATACAGTTAGATAGGACCCTATGAGCCAATAGAAATGGATAGGACAATTAGGGCCAGTAGAATTAGATAGGGCACTATGGGTCAATACAGTTAGATAGGACACTTTGAGCTAATAGAAATGGATTGGACAATTTTAGCAAATAGAATTAGGATACCATAGGCAAAGCAACATTTATTTCCGAAATGAAAATAGCTAGAACGTTTTCACCCAAAGAAATATCTAAATCAACGTTCCACAAATGGTGGTCCACGGTCAAGAACCGGTCCGCGAGCCTGACGTTGCCGGTCCGAACAGCATACACATTTATCATGTAGTAAAGAAATTATAATAAATCAATGTGGCACTGGCGCCTGGTTCATTTTCGGAACTTGTCCACCGGTCCGCCAAACTTAACATTTGGGAAACGCTGGTCTAGATCATGGTAGGCAACAGATTAGGCAGGAAATTAAAGAAAATAGCAATTAAATTGTAGTAGACAGTTTAGGGAACAACAGTGTAGGCAATTGATGGCCGATGTTTAATTTGAGATAGAAATAACTAGCATTCACACTAGACACTCAACACTATAAATATGAATCTTCATGCATCTCATTTGTATTTCTTTTCCATCTCGGAACCCACAGACGCTGCTGCATGTACACTTCAAGCGTACAGATTTAAAGAAAGGGTTTTGTACGCTAGACCGTACACGAATGGTTCAGGACCACCCAAGGTGGGTAATTATCATGTTGCCTGCTATGTTGGCTGCTATGCTGACTGCTATGTTTGCTGATGTGTTGGCTGTTATGTTGGCTGCTATGTTGGCTGCTATGTTGGCTGCTATGTTGGCTGCTAGGCTGCTATCTTTGCTGATACGTTGACTGTTACCAGCTGGGCTGTACTCATTGGGCTACGTGATGTATGATAGAATAAACTGTGCTGTGTGTATGAAATTTTTTATACAATTTTATCGACATAACGGGAGTAAAAGCTTAAACATCGACTTGTTGAAAATTTAGGTCAGAAAACATCGACTTGTTGAAAATGTAGGTTAGGAAAGTGAGTAAAAATGTTGGTGGGTAAAGTGAGTAATTATGTAGGTAAATCTCCAATTTCACAATCCTCTGATTTCTTTCGACCACTTCATTTCATAAGAAGCTTATATAAAAAAAAAAAAAAGAATAATAACTTGTTCTTCTCTCCCTTGAGTGTCTCTGCACACTATTTTCGATTCTCTCTTCTTAGCATCCCTGCACACTATCTTTCATTCTCTTCCCTTTTATTCTCTCACCTAAGTATCTCTGCACATTATCTTCCATTCTCTCTTTTTGCGTATCCCTGCACACTATCTTTAATTATCTCCCAAGAGTATCCCATGCACAATATCTTCAATTCCCTTACCTTTCATTCTCGCCCCCGAGTATCCCCGCACAATATTTTCCATTCTCTCCCTCCGAGTATCCCTGTACAATATTTTCCATTCTCTCCCCCTGTGTATCCCTGTACAATATTTTCCATTCTCTCCCTCCGAGTATCCCTGTACAATATTTTCCATTCTCTCCCCCTGTGTATCCCTGTACAATATTTTCCATTCTCTCCCCCTGTGTATCCCCGTACAATATTTTCTATTCTCTCCCCCTGTGTATCCCTGTACAATATTTTCCATTCTCTCCCCCTGTGTATCCCTGTACAATATTTTCCATTCTCTCCCCCTGTGTATCCCTGTACAATATTTTCCATTCTCTCCCTCTGTGTATCCCTATACAATATTTTCCATTCTCTCCCCCTTCCCTCTACAATTTTTTCCATCCTCTCCCTCTGTGTATCCCTATACAATATTTTCCCTTCTCTCCCCCTGTGTATCTCTGTACAATATTTTCCATTCTCCCCCCCCCTGTGTATCCCTGTACAATATTTTCCATTCTCCCCCCCCCTGTGTACCCCTGTACAATATTTTCCATTCTCTCACTTAAGTATCCAAGCACAAAATGTTCCATTCTCTCCTTGAGTATCCCCGCAATCTTCCATTCTCTCTCACAAGTTTCCCTTCACAATATTTTCCCTTCTCCTTCTTGAGTACCCTGCACACTAGCTTCCATTGTACCCGTAACCAAATGGTGTTCCACAATTCAGTCAGTGCGACATACAATTATTTATTGGTGACACTTATAACAGAGTAACATAAACACCTTTACAAAATTGACCAATATCAGAAGACACTTGTTTATCAAGTGCTACAAACCTGTCACCAACCATATCGCCTGGAAGAAAAAGAGAATAGTTATCAGCATACCAAAAAATGCGAGATATTAAGACATTTTTCGACAAAATATACTTCACCGAATGCTTATATTTAGGAGAACAAATGACGTCATGGTTGAGCTTTGCCACTTTGAGCAGAATAGCCTATTGTAGGGAAACACCAGTGTGAGTTATTTTTAGATGTTATGTTGCAAGCTGCTTCCAGTATTAAGAAAAAACGTTTTTCGTAGATAAATCTTTGCAACATACTCACGTTTCTACCATTCTGACATTCAGCTCCCAAGTCCTGAAGGCACTGATGAAATTTGCAGTGTCAGCCACCTGAGCTTCCAGCTGCTCCCCAAGCGAACGCCGTGCTACAAGCGCGTACAGAGTGTCTCGGGGCTTAGGTTTAGTTGATTGTGTGTCTCGGGCCTTAGGTTTAGCTGATTGCGATCACCCAGTCACATGACGCACATGACCTCACGCACTTCACATATTTAATGAACAGGCAATCACTTGATGGGATTTCGGGCGTGAAATTCATGAATGAAGAGTTATTAAAACTGCACTTTAAAAACTTCATGTTCACTCAAATCATGGCATAAGTGTTAGCTTTTCACGACGGATGCGTATTAATATGATTTATTTTCTAATGATTTTATGTAATGATAGAGCGATTATTTAAGGAATTTCCCGAAACTTTGCTCACGGTCATTCGATGTATTTCAGGCCAACGGGGCTGCAGTCAGACCCATCCCTGACCACCATAGTGCTGGTGCCTCCCCACAGCCAGCCGAGCACAGGCCGCCATCCAGAACCAACGGCTTCGGCGGAGGACATGATGCTGGTCACAGAGGTCGAGATAATGATATAATGACCACTGACCTTGATGACGGCATGACGGCCTTGACCCAGCTGACCTCCGCGACACCCATCCACCTCCAGATGACGGAGACCCGGCCCCACCCCGACCGCGTCGCCGCCGCCACCGAGGCCGGAAGCAAAGTGCAGCCCAAAAAATCACCGCGGGCTTTGCTGCCGGGCGTGAACAAGGCCCCCACGTCACCCCCTCCACCTCTCCCGCCGACAACGCTGCAGACTTTGGGGATTCCCGATCAAGTCTCACCTAATGACGTCAAGCGTTCAGCGTCCTCCAGTTCCAGGCAGGAGTGGAAGGACAAGATGAGAAAGAAGTATCTACCCGCTGTCTTGTTGGATAACTCATTCGAAGTCAATTCCCCCGACAGTGTCCCAGGCACCGACGCAGACGCTGACAAGGATGCTAGAAACTCCGTGCGCGTTGCCACGCGGGGTTCGAACCAGCTACCCAGCACGGCTAGCACCGACAGCTCCTATTACATTTCCGGCGACTACCACTACGAATACCTGAGCGATTCCGGTCCGCCGCCGCCCGTGCAGCAGCAGTGGACGTGTGACAGCGAGGGCGACGCCTACGGGTCGTGTGACATAGTCGATGTCCTCGACGAGTCGGATGCACGTGACAATGTGAGCCCCAACTCCGAGATAGAAGCTGACGCCGATCACCCAACGAGTGAGATCGTGGTCACATTCGTCCAGGGGAAATCTCCGCATTTTCCCGGTGATGATGCAATGAACGGTCACGTGGATATGGAAATTATCAACAGACCTTCTAGAACAATACCTAGAACATCTAGGAATACCGCCGCGGTCTCAATACCCGTACATAACGGTCCTTACACAGACCAACCCAACGTCTTGGATGTTCAGTTCGAAGATTCTGATTCTGTAACCACGCCGGATGTTGCTGCCGCTGCCGCTCTTCACGGTACGACTCCGCCGACTAATCCAGTCATTCGCAGAGACAATTATAGGAAATTTCTGCCCTACACGAACTTAGTTGTGTCCAGTGTGGATGTTGAGGACAATACTTTTGGCGGAGACACGGCCGGACCGGATGCCGGCAAAGAGGTAAGTACTTCAACACGTGAACCTCAGGAAAAACAATTATCAGAGTCCGATGCTCCAAAAGGCGCCAAGACTCTTAGTCAGTCAGACTCGCTATCCACAGACGGAACTTCAATGCTGAGCAATGAAGGAAGTGATTCTGAGGAAGGTCCCAAGGAAGAGGAGCCGTTCGATGAAGCTAAAAAGACTGCCGTTCAGCAGGATTATGGCGGGTTGGAAACTGTGAGCGGCTCAGAGATGCTGCGTCTGAAAATGTCGTCTGTAAGGCGTGCCACCGCCATGGATTCGACAGACGATTCAACCAACAGCGACAGTGACCCGGAGCAGGACCAGACCACGGCGACTGCCACAGCCTACGACCTGCCCGGGGATCACGTCGCTGCCGTTAAACGGGTTACCCACCGAGCTGAAAATCGGATTAATGGCTTCGCCGACGACGGCGAATTCAGTCCAGACACTTCTGCAGTATCGGGAGATCGAGCCGGTACGCGGTTCGTCCTAGGGATTGACTCTGAGGACGATATGACTAGAAACGTTAAAGACCGCCATTTGCCCTCACCTGGGGTAAAACCAAAACCCCCAGCGAGGGCCAAGAGACAAAACGATCAAGCATTAACTACAAACCCATCTTCTGCTGCCACGAGTTTGAACCCATTTCCTAAATCACCGCCCCAGTCCAGGGAATCCAGGCAGGCGGAATTCGTGACCAATCCGTTTTTAAGAGAATCTTTCGAAATCGCATCGAAAAACCACCAAGCGAGATCACACACTAATCCGTTTTTGAATGCGTCAGACATCTTCATAGGATCTGAAGCTGCGTCGTCGAGTGACAGATTCCCGGAGAAAACGGCTCCCGTCTCTACGACTAGGCCGGGGGGTCACAGCATCGTGAAGCCGCCACGGAACAGAGAAAACAGCCTCAAGAAGAAGTCTGCTCGTCACACGTCATCTGAAGACGAGCTGGATTCGATTCTGAACGGCGACGAGGTGACCAATAATGACAGCTCGTTCGCCGACTCATCCGCTTCCAGTCCAATTGAATCTAGCCCAAGGGGCTTCGAAGCCAGTGCTCGGACACATCAAGCCGACACGGCAGGAGATAGCGACGGTGCGGCCAGCGACAAATCCGTCGTTTTGGAACCTTACGGCGAAAGACGACCCGCGTGGATGGAAGACCCCCTCATATCATCCCATGGAACGGTGTTCCTCAAGGATCACCTCAACACCGAATCAGACACCGATGGGTTCGAGGAAGCATTCGCGCCGTCGATTTTTCGCGTCACCGTTAGCGACGATACCTCCGATGAGGTCGTGGAGTACGATTTTGATGCCGTTAACGTCGGAGGTGTCGATTACGGAAATAATCGACTTCTTCATTACAACCGACCCCCGGCGGGCTTGGTCCACTATCAGTTCGACGACGAGATTGACCGGGGCTTCGAGGACGCTCTGAGCTACAACCATCACGCCTACGGCGGACTGGGTCTTTGCTTCGAGGCTATTCAAGAGGAAACGGAAGAATCTCTTTCGGAGAGTATAGCTAGCTTGGACGGCAATGAGCTGTCCGACTCGACGAATATCTTTAAAACTCAGGCCGTCGTCTCGCGACCCTCGTCTCGCGCCAGTGTGTTCAGTCCGTCGCTGAAGGAACACCCCGGTGGGGACCAGCAGCAACAGTTCTTCAGTGATGACCTCCAGGACAAGACGGATAGTTTTCCAATTTTTGAGCGGACATCGGCCGACGGAAGTGAAGAAATTCTTCCACCGCATAACGGACACGGAAGTAAGACGCCACCCAGGCTGGTTCCGGACCCCTGGGGCGGCGAACCCCCACGCGCGCAGAATCACATCGTATTCGTGCCTCAGGTCCACGCCGCGTTCGGAGACGATGGGGACAAGGACATCGAGACCGCGGACGATATCGTCACGGCCTTGGCCTTCAATCCAGACCAGCGGGGTCAGGTGGTGCAGTCCCCTTGGTCAGACGTGGATGCCAAGGACCAGGTCCTGGACATGTCCTTCGATTCGGATTTTTCCCAGGAAGCTGTCGACACCGACCCCAAGATCCGAGCATCGCCGTTTGATGATGTCTTCGGAAACAGTTTTCTTGCAGGCGCCGACAAAGCTAAGATAGCCCCGGCTTATTTCTAAGAGGGATATCTAGGACAACGGTTTCGTTAAAGAGAAAGACATGCACTCTCTGTGTACTTTTGAGAACGAAATGACAGAAACATTTAAAAAAAAAACAAAACGGGTGGCCTTTCCTGTTAATATTGCTTTCCAACTGTTGAAGGGAACCAACTCAATGTTATGTTCAGAACAGAAATATCACGTAACACTCATCACCCCTTAAAAAAAAAGGTTGAAAATTAATTATTCGACTCCTATTCGCTCGAGATGTATCCGGCTAAATCGTCGACTCGACTCGAGCATAACGATATTTTTACGAAGTGATTTAAATTTTGAGCCATTTTGTGTTTACCTTGTCATTTTTTTGAAGTAGGTCAAGCGTTATTTTTAGTTCAAGGCCAACATGCGACTCATTCGCTTTCTATTGAATTTTTTTCCCTTTTGCTATTGATAAAAAAATCAATGTCTTTCAAATGATGTTATCAAGAGTGTGAGCAGAGGCGGAAAAAACAGGTGGTGGGGTGAGTTTGAAGCATCTCAGACAGGTCGATACTTTGAATGTTCGGGATGTTAAGTTTCATGTGTTTGTTAAAATGTTCTGTTCAAGTTGGATTACAGTCAGGGTTTAATGGTTGCGTTTGGACAACAACAACAAAAAATATCAAAGATTTCAAACTAAAGAAAAAAAAAAACCAACCACGAGCTCGGTAATGTTGGGAATTTTATTGAAATAATTTAACGTGCCATAGTACTTAGGTGTTATGTATAACGTGTCATAGTACTTAGGTGTTATGTATAACGTGTCATAGTACTTAGGTGTTATGTATAACGTGTCATAGTACTTAGGTGTTATGTATAACGTGCCATAGTACTTAGGTGTTATGTATAACGTGTCATAGTACTTAGGTGTTATGTATAAAGTGTCATAGTACTTAGGTGTTATGTATAACGTGTCATAGTACTTAGGTGTTATGTATAACGTGTCATAGTACTTAGGTGTTATGTATAACGTGCCATAGTACTTAGGTGTTATGTATAACGTGTCATAGTACTTAGGTGTTATGTATAACGTGTCATAGTACTTAGGTGTTATGTATAACGTGCCATAGTACTTAGGTGTTATGTATAACGTGTCATAGTACTTAGGTGTTATGTATAAAGTGCCATAGTACTTAGGTGTTATGTATAACGTGCCATAGTACTTAGGTGTTATGTATAACGTGTCATAGTACTTAGGTGTTATGTATAACGTGTCATAGTACTTAGGTGTTATGTATAACGTGTCATAGTACTTAGGTGTTATGTATAACGTGCCATAGTACTTAGGTGTTATGTATAACGTGTCATAGTACTTAGGTGTTATGTATAAAGTGTCATAGTACTTAGGTGTTATGTATAACGTGTCATAGTACTTGGGTGTTATGTATAACGTGTCATAGTACTTAGGTGTTATGTATAACGTGCCATAGTACTTAGGTGTTATGTATAAAGTGTCATAGTACTTAGGTGTTATGTATAACGTGTCATAGTACTTAGGTGTTATGTATAACGTGTCATAGTACTTAGGTGTTATGTATAACGTGTCATAGTACTTAGGTGTTATGTATAACGTGTCATAGTACTTAGGTGTTATGTATAACGTGTCATAGTACTTAGGTGTTATGTATAACGTGTCATAGTACTTAGGTGTTATGTATAACGTGTCATAGTACTTAGGTGTTATGTATAACGTGTCATAGTACTTAGGTGTTATGTATAACGTGTCATAGTACTTAGGTGTTATGTATAACGTGTCATAGTACTTAGGTGTTATGTATAACGTGTCATAGTACTTAGGTGTTATGTATAACGTGTCATAGTACTTAGGTGTTATGTATAACGTGTCATAGTACTTAGGTGTTATGTATAACGTGTCATAGTACTTAGGTGTTATGTATAACGTGTCATAGTACTTAGGTGTTATGTATAACGTGTCATAGTACTTAGGTGTTATGTATAACGTGTCATAGTACTTAGGTGTTATGTATAACGTGTCATAGTACTTAGGTGTTATGTATAACGTGTCATAGTACTTAGGTGTTATGTATAACGTGTCATAGTACTTAGGTGTTATGTATAACGTGTCATAGTACTTAGGTGTTATGTATAACGTGTCATAGTACTTAGGTGTTATGTATAACGTGTCATAGTACTTAGGTGTTATGTATAACGTGTCATAGTACTTAGGTGTTATGTATAACGTGTCATAGTACTTAGGTGTTATGTATAACGTGTCATAGTACTTAGGTGTTATGTATAACGTGTCATAGTACTTAGGTGTTATGTATAACGTGTCATAGTACTTAGGTGTTATGTATAACGTGTCATAGTACTTAGGTGTTATGTATAACGTGTCATAGTACTTAGGTGTTATGTATAACGTGTCATAGTACTTAGGTGTTATGTATAACGTGTCATAGTACTTAGGTGTTATGTATAACGTGTCATAGTACTTAGGTGTTATGTATAACGTGTCATAGTACTTAGGTGTTATGTATAACGTGTCATAGTACTTAGGTGTTATGTATAACGTGTCATAGTACTTAGGTGTTATGTATAACGTGTCATAGTACTTAGGTGTTATGTATAACGTGTACTCGTACTTGCGTGTTATATATATATATATAACGTGTTATCGTACTTAGGTGTTATCTCTTTGAAATTCACGTGAAAGACCATAAAGGGGCTATCCAAAGAGTACGTAACGCTTTTTTAAAACGATTTTTACCCCACACCCCACGTGACAATTTTTACCCCCTCCCAGCGCCCCTACCCAGCGCCCCTATCGCCAGCGCCCCCACCCCAACGCCCCCACCCCGCAAGTCGTCACACTTTCGAACTAAAAGACAAAATGATGGTTAACAAAAATTCAAGATCTAGAATTTAATCTAAACTCACGTCATTATTAAAATTAGACACTACCAAGTGGCATCTTCTGTCA